TTTGTTTAGACTTATAAGCCAACTTATAAGCCAAAAAGTCTAAACCTAAACAAATAAGCAACTTTTTCGTTTGGCTTTTTTAAGCCATAAGCCACTCTTACACTATTAAGCCAAAAGCTAGGTTGGAGAAGCTTTTTTGGCTTATATGAGATAGATGTATGACTCCACCACTAAACTTAGGACATTAAATTCACTGGCTTATAAATCATATAAGCCAATAAGCTGACTTAAAAGTCTAAGCCAATAAACCTAAGCCTAAACAAAGAGGACCTAAGTATGGCGTGCTTTCGATAGAATTTTAGTGTTGTCAGGGAGTTATTCTAGGGACACACTAGTGGGTGTATGAATATAGCGCACATGCATAGCATCATGAGTGTGCACAAGTATACGTGTCTATCTATTATATACTACAACTCCATAAAACTTCATATAAACACTCCTAAGTTGTCTCGTGACATCCTAAAAACGCTTCTAAACCGTCACGTGACACTCAAACAAATAACCGTTGATTTTTATTAAATTTGGTGATCCATTATTTACAACCATTATATTCTTTTTTAAAGAAAAAATTGACCATCCAAACCCGGCCCCACCCAGCCTGTAGATACGTACGCATATTTCGTATACAACTAACTATTATATATGAAATAATAACAATATATCCCTTGTTGTTGTTGTTGTGATATGTTGCCTGTAACATATATCTCATGTGTCTCCCCTTTTCTCTACCTCCTATTTTGTAGCTAGCAATTCAAGGTAAACATAATGAGCTAAGTTAATTTAAGATAAATAAAATCCAAAAAGTTCTAAGTAAAATGCAAAAGATCATATCATCGATTTACACTTAAACCGTTAAACCTATTATTTACAATGATTAGACTAATTAAACCGTTAAACCTAAATTTATTAAACTAATTAATCCCTCAACGCTGATCTCCGTTGTAATTTAAGATCAACAAAATTCAAAAAGATGTGAGAAATAAAAAGAAAACATCGCACCATCGATTTACACTTAAATCGTTGAACCTACTATTTTAAACATTATATTAGATATATTAAAGTAATTAATCCATCCATCCATCCTAATCTCATACAGTATGTACTTACATAATTATAATATTTTATTCATATTACGCCCCCTTTCTAAATTCACTCTTCCTTCTCATATTTTATGCTTTATTAGTTAGAAAGCAAAATATTTATTAAAGTAACTATAATATTTTTTATTTTTTATGACTAAATTTATAATGAAGTTGTACCAGATTTCACTATAATTTATCTTTGAAGAGAAATATGTCTCTTTTGGGTTATATTTTCTTTGCATGCATTATAAACAATTATAAAAAATATAAAAAACAATACAATAGATTATAGATTTTGTAAAGGTCCGCCCTATTTTTAGTATTTCAAAAGTTTTGCCCTGGTGTTAATTTTGAATTATGATAGATGTCATCCGGTTCATATTATGTCATTTTTTAAGTTTTTTTCAAACGCACTCTATAATACATACCTACGCATTCACATGGGATATCTTTCTAGTTACATATAAGGAAGGCTCTATGCGTCGGGCGCCCGATGCTTTGGGAGAAAAATCGGGCGCTGACGTCATGCTCACTTCAGCGCCCGATTTATGTGCAAAAACTATTTTAAACTGATTTTTCTCTTAAATTACTTATCCAAATCATGATCCGATTGCACCATTAAATTCGTTGCAATTAAATCTTCAAAACAAGACCACACATGGATATATTCCGACGAAATTTTTTTTAGCTTATTATTGAATTATTTTTAAATATTGCACGATGTTCCACCGGGTATATCGGAATTGTTTCACTAAGCAGATAAAAATGTTTCATTCGTTTAAATCGGGTGTTGTTTCACCTTATATAAAAACAATGTTTCAGCAAATAGCGAAACAATGTTTCAGTTCACTGCAACATTTGATCCATACACAGTGAAACATTACAAGTACACTAGGTGAAACATTTTTCGGTGAAAAAAAAATAAAACGAATTCCCTTAATAGGGGGTTTCCAAAATATGTGGGGTTTTTTTTGCAATGGAGTATTTCAGTTCACTGCAACATTAGATTTATATATAGTGAAACATTGTGAGTACACTAGGTGAAACATTTTTGGTAGAACAAAAAATAAACCGAATTCCCTTAATAGGGGGTTTCCAAAATATGTGATTTTTTTGTTGCAATAGAGTATATGGTGAAGATATGTGGCAAGTAGTAGAGACACATGGTGGGGTCCTAGTAGAAGCACATGGACACGTTGTGGAGGGGGGAGCGCCCGATTTTCTCTCCCTCCCCCGGGTGACCGAGCGGCAGCATTTTCGTACATATAATCATGAAATTTTTTTCCCATACCAATGTACCTAATAAATTTCATATCGGTAATCGAAGATAAAATTCATCGGATGTTATCACCTATAGCTCGGACAAAAATCCTTTCAGACCACAATAGTACTACAGTGGCACGGCCAAATTAGCAACAAATGATTGGTCCGACTGGTCCAGATTCTCCCTGGCCTCTGTGCACCGCAGTGGAAGTGAATGCAACAGCATATGGGGGCTCACCACAAGACCCCTCGCCGTCAGAGCGCATCGCGGCCACTCTCTTCCCTCCGCTGGTGGTGAGGCCTATGATGAGGGTCCCCTCCTCCTCCGCCCCGCGCGGCTCACGGCCAGGGCTCATCGCTTCGCCTCGCCTCGCCGCGCCGCGCTGCGCGCGCGCTTTTCGCTCGTACGCCTGGCGCAGCAAAACGTTTTCGGTTGGGGGCGTTTGGGTTGGGCCACAAGAAAATTCCTCGCTCGCCATGAAGGACTAACAGAAAACGCCAACCTCTCCCGTCCCCCACCGGCTCATTGCACACGTCAGGCATCTCGCGCCTATGTGTCGAGCGGTCGAGCCGAGCACGCCGCTCGTGTCGGGAGGTTGGGATTCTCTCACGACGAAACCTGGTTCATTGCTTTACCGATGCTTCCTTATAAAATTAATCAATCTAAAGATCGCAACGAACAATACGTATGGTGGAACGATCATACTCGTGTGACTGGAGGGCAGAAATTTTACCTAGGTAAAATCAAGGTTTATAAAATCATGTGGTTATCGTATACAATAACCTTTTTAATTTTTAAAATCACAGTATATCTCGTAGTAATTGTGTAATTTTCACGATATCCGTGAGGTACAGTAATCTCATCCTAAACACTTTAGTAAATCATAGGTGAAATAATATGTTTATAATTTACTTGTGCCTCTTTTTAGCTGAAGAGAAAGGGTACGTGCAGTAGATAGTACACCTTTGAGCTTTTCTGTAGCGAAAGGCTACAAATATTCGGCCGCGGCAGCCGAAGCGGGTTGCCTTTGCCCCCACTAGATTTCAGGAGCCCCGCCCCTCGTCCGCGTCCGTCCGTCGCCGCACGCGCCAGCCGTCCGATCGCGCTCGCCTCGCCTACGTGGCCACTCGCCCCGCCGTCCGTCCCTTCCGTGCGGCCGGCCGCCGCGACCGCCAAAAGAGCAGGGCCGCCGCCGCCGCCGCCGCCGCCTCCTCCTCCCCTTCCCTCCGGCAGCCGCAAAGCCGGAGCTGAGCAGGCTAGGGTTCCGGCGAGAGCCCCGCCCCGCCCCCGGTCGAGCTGGAGGACACGACGCGTAGCCCCGGGTTCTTCTGCGGCGACCTGTGGTGCGGCCTCATGGAGCCCAAGGGCGAGCAGCAGCGCCACTGTATCCTTCTCACTCGTTCTACGGAGCGCGCCGAATCCCCCGCCCTCTGCTATTTGAGGGGGGTGGATCTGATGTGTGTGCTTGCTGGTGTTCCGGTGCATGTTTTCGCTGTCGATCAATGGGATTTCTCGATGTTTTTGGAGCTACTTTAGATTTTGAATGGTGGTGAGTTTGGTGGTTCTGATCCCATTGTTCCTTCCTCTAGAGTTTGCTGATACATGGGGAAGTACTAGTACTTTTTTGTTGGATCGAAATTCTCGATTTTGTCTTTTACTCTTGTTCAGTAAAAGTTATGGTTATGATGATCGGCGCGTGCTTCTTTTCTCGCTGTTTTTTTTTTAGAAATATCGGCGTGGCATCTACTAGTTCTAGTTGTGTTCATCCCAGCTTTGTTAGTCGAAAAAAACTTTTGGTTTTACTCAAGTTTCCAATTTCTTTTTGTTGAAAAAAAAACTTTGCCTCATCCAAAGGTTATTATTATTTCTTAATCGCGATCACTATTTAGAAAAATATTATATCGAATTTATCACGGGATTATAGTCGCTTCCATAGGCTTTGATCAAAACTTTGATCCATTTCAATCTCGATATTATTGAGTTTTGCCGGCCTATCATGTGCCTCTATTATTAGGATTTTGAGAGATGGTGAGAGCCGAGCCAACTCCCATTTACGCGGCAGGTGGTACACCAATTATTTGGTTTCTCTGTGTCCATGGACTTGCTTAGTCTCAACGGTTAGGCCTGGACGTCTGGTGTGGTGCTGCAGGCCGCACCTCCTAATCTCCCCTTAATCTCAACTCCTTGGCCAGCCTCGTGTTCGTGCTTAATCAAATGATCCCTGTTTATTTTTCAGATCTGTTAATCTCATGAGTTCTTGAAAGGGCAATTATTAGCTGAGCATGATTGAACTAGGGAATTGTTTATTTGTCATTCTGGCGTGGTTGGCTTACTTTATTGCTCACTCATGGACAACGACCTTTTTCAATTTGTTTTGCGATCCTTGACTTTGTCTATCATCTAGCTATGCAAGAAGCAATGGAGAACTTGAAGATTAATGGTAGCACAAAGACAAGTAATGTCAACTTGGTAAGATTCTCCATCTTAATGCATGATATACTAGCTTGCTTGTCTTAGCGTATAAGGAATATCTTTATTTCCTACTTTACTCTGGTTGGTTGGTTGCGCTATATCTATCGTCGTCTCCCTGATTCCTTTCCTCTCCAACATTTGTAGCCTGCTACAAAAGGCGCAAGTTCTTCTGATGCAATATCATGCATTTCCTCGGGCGATGCAGCTAGTACTGTCAAGGAAAGTGAAATGAACCAAGAAGCTTCTGTGGGGGACCAAGGGATGTATTACTACGGATATTATTATCCTGGTGGGTATATTAACCCCATGACGGCATGATCTGAAAACAAATCTTACTGTTCATCCATTTGATGATTTGATTTTTTTTTTTTGCGGGGATGATCTGATTGTTTATTGTAGCCTCATTTGGAGGATATGATGAGAATGGCTACTTCGTTGGATACAATGGACTGGAGGTGCACCCTACAGTAAGTGATCAACTAGCATACTTTATCAAGTATGGTATATGCCTTTTCTACAGTATTTACAAGTGGTTCTATCTAAAATCGAAACAATGGTGCACTCAGTACATCTCTGTGGTGGCATGGTGGTACCGACAAGCTTTGAACCTATTTGCTGTCATCTTCCCTTTGCTACGTTTGGGAAAGTGGCCAACATTTTTCTTTAGTACCACTCGTTATTCTTCAATTGTTATCCTTGTGCCAGAAAAGTATCCTGCACAGTTTTATGATATTTTTTGCTGCGCTGTTGTAAGCACAACATATGCTTTCATGAGCAAAAGATTAATTTACCGTAATGATTGAATAAACAAAGCTGACTATTTTTTTCTTTTTGCCAAAGGAAGTAAACTTCCAGCCTCTGCATCAACTAAGGATGCACTCGGGCCATATCTGTGGCATCAGGATTTAAACCTTGGTAGGTGGAGTCATGCACTTACGACTCCACCATATCAATGGTGCTTCCCCAAACGATGATGTGTATAATAAACAAAGCTGAATGATGGAGCACTTTTATGTTCCATGCTATACAAGAATTTGTGGTTAAGTACCAAGGATATTGTCCTGACACTAATCTTTAATGATAATAGTCGAGATTATATTGCATTACCACCTTCAGTTTATTTTATAATTGATTGCTTGATGTCATCCAGGTGAACTATTCCTTGAAGGTGCAGCTGTGAAAGTTGACATATTACTAGAGAACTGTGCTTATATCTGCTCTACAATCTATTTCAGGTGGTTCAAGGTGATAATGGGTCTTATTTGTGTTATCTTCCGGGGTATGAAAATGGATATACTTATAGCCCGATTGTTCCTGGAGTTATTGCTGGTGTGGATGGTCAATATATCAGCAAAGAGCCATATTATTCTACAATTTCTATGCAGGACCCTAGCACACCTGGCATTTTTGCTCAACCAGTTGCTTATGGACCTGAGCTAGTCCCTGCATACACATGGGATCCTTCTTTTGCCCTTCTTGATGGGGTTCAGGGACGTCCTGTTGGTGTGCATCAAACAAATTACCCTGCAAGACCAAAATACTCTTCTAATAAGCTTCCTTCATCAAAAGCTTCCCGGAACACTAAGTCTGCATCAGATACCATCAAAGGATCATCATCAGCTCTAGACACGATGTCAACTTCTGCTAATGGCTATCCATCCTCGAAGACTGCAAACAAGGTACTTGTGAATTCCTGTAAAAAAGCATAACTCAGTGCTCTTGGGATGAAAGTAGGAAACTATTGCTGATAGACTTATTCTTATGCTAGGCATCTGGTGCTTCCATTTCAAAAGGGTATCCTCTGTCTAGCAAGTTTGCGGTGCATACTAACCAAGGAAAAGACAATCTTTACCAAAGTAAAGACATTGGTATGAAGGAAAGTGGTAGAAGCTGGAACAGTACTGAGAAGCTCAAGGCCAGAAGTAAGCTAAATGGATATGGTGACTGTGATATATCAGATAACCTCACTGATAACTCCAAAAATAGTTTGAGCCCTCAAGGTGGTCATTATGGACTATCAAGTGCAGGGGGGGGCAATGATGTTACACCTTCACCTGTTGCAATGAGCCGAGATGCATATAATCTTCCAGATTTTGTTACGAAGTATGATCAAGCTTTATTCTTTGTGATTAAATCTTATAGCGAGGATGATATTCACAAGAGCATTAAGTACAATGTCTGGGCAAGTACTCCTAATGGAAATAAAAGGCTTGACAATGCCTTTAAACTTGCACAAGAAAGAGTTGCTGAGAAAGGAACCAAATGTCCTATGTTCCTTTTCTTCTCTGTAAGTTAAATATTTACTCTCACGCCTAATGTTTTTCACCTGAATATGTCAGAATAGGAGGCGTCCAAACCTTCTCTTTTTCATTTCTCAATGTAGCCGATTGTTGCTTGAGTGCTTAATTTCATACAGTTAGTAGACAACAGGAAGACACCGATTTCATATATATTTTCGTTTTCTGTTCTTTTGTTTTGAGCTTTCCTTGCAATCTTGCTCCATGTAGTGAGTTCATGGTTCACCCTTTTTTTGTGGGGGGAAATATACTTTTGCCAATTCTTGTAACTTTGTTGTAAAACTTCTAATTATTACACTATGATGACCAGGTGAACGCAAGTGGCCAGTTCTGCGGCGTGGCTGAGATGGTCGGTCCGGTAGATTTCAACAGGAATATGAACTTCTGGCAGCAGGACAAGTGGAATGGATTTTTCCCAGTAAAATGGCACATTATCAAGGATGTGCCTAATCCACAATTTCGCCACATAATACTGGAGAACAACGAAAACAAACCTGTGACAAACAGCAGGGATACACAAGAGGTATTTATTCAATTACCTAGAGATTTTTTATTTTTTTATACTCATGATCTCAAGCCATCTGCTTGTACGTAGTATTCATAAATTTCCCATCCTGTCTTCCTCAGTGAATAAAAGTCTAAATAACCAATCCTTTTATTTGCACTGCATGACGACTTGTTTGTTTCAACACTTCAAAGTTCAAATGAGCTTAAAATATGTAGTCTTTTGGCCTATCACTTGCACTTGATCATCCATGCCCAATGCTGTCATCTTTTAAGAAATTCAACCTCTTAGGCTACTGTCTGTGCTGATCTCCACTTTGCATTCTTTACAATCAGTTATACTGTCCAATGGCAATTTGAATATGTTATTACACTTCAACTACTATGCTTCTCGCACTGTAATGTGTTACCTTGTTTTATTTTTGATCTCTAATTGAGTGCTTGGGCAATTCAGGTCAAGTTTCCACAAGGTTCAGAGATGCTGAACATTTTCAAGAACTTTTCATGTAAAACGTCAATATTGGATGACTTTGACTTCTATGAAAATAGGCAGAAAGTAATGCAGGACAGAAGAGGCAAGCCACTTGCTACAACATTGGATCACCCCATGGTATGCCCCTATTTTCTATTTTCTCTTCTTTTTTATTTCAAGAGCCACCTGCTATAAATCTCTTCCTCTTTTATTTCATGGGCAACCTTGTCCTCAGTCATACCTTTTACTCTAGTTGATTATCCCCTGCCAATGAAATGTTTAACATGGTTACACTTTTGCTTAGTACATTGTGGGCTATATCAAAATCCAATAATAACAAGAGTAATAGAGGAACAATTAGGAAAATAATGATTGGCTTGAGCTGATATTTTAGGAGCAGTAAGGGATAGCCACACTAGAAACACATGAAATATATCATAAAAAAGTATATTGAATTTACAAAAGGATCTACAGGATGAATTTTGCACAAATGAATCTGATATACGGATTACAAATCCCACATAAGCACAACTCTAGGGTACATCTCTCCTAAACTATACCAATACCACAAAGGTCTTAAGGAAATGGATTCAGTTAGCCAACTAGCCAACAAAGGTCTTAAGGAAATGGAGCTTCAACCATCCTGTTCTAGTTGCTGTTCATTGTATTTCTGGAACATAAATAATAGATTTACCTGTTGAAATGTCCTACTTCTTGTTTTATGATTAGCAAAAGGTCGGCACATTTTTAATACCCCATTTGGAGTGTATATAATTCGCAGTGGTTTTGCTAGAATTTCAGGAATCAGTCAAATTCCTACAGGATAGGAAAAAACTATGTGTTGTGAACTGGGCCTAAGAAGGGTTGGCTTGTGCATACATAAGATTTTAGTTCCTGTTGTTATTCTATGCCATCAATGGCGATTTTTCATGTTTTAGCACTAACGGGAGGAACTGCATATCTTTTGTTTTAAGGAGTAGGGGCCTGAACTCGTGGCCTCACCACAACCTTTTGCTCTATCACTAGGCTCACTATAGGGGTATTCCCATGTATATTTCTTCCTCATGATTCCTTTTCTTTTGCAGTTAAAAGTTGAAAAACCTGAAGAAACTAAGAGGCCAAGTCAATTTGTAAGTACAGTGGATCTTGATACAGCCAAACCAGATGAAGTGGTGTTTGACAAGATTGCAACAGAACTCGATACAGCCAAGCTAAGTGAGGAGCAGATCAACAAAGTTGAAGTGGAAATTGGCACAACTAACAGTAGTGAGTAGCAGAGAAGGGTTGCAGAGGATGAATTACAGGATGGGTACTTGAGCTAGAAACATAAGAGATGATTTCAGAAACGGGCTTCCTACTTCAAACAATTAACTTGCTGTGTGAAACGTTGAGAATCCTTGGCACTCGTCCACTTCTAAATGCAAGCGGAAAAAGAGGAACCAAAGGAAAAGAGGAACCATGGTGCTGTCTTCCCATGAGAATGCTCGATGACTGGGAAGAGGTTACAAGACAACTAACTAGATATCTACTGATCATGCGTGTGTTACTACCTCTGCCGCTAGCCGCTAACGCTCAATTCTCCCTCGTCTATTTTTCAGCTTGGAGGGAAGAATTTTTCCTTTTTGCCTTATGTCATGCCTTTTTTTATTTGTCTAATAATACTGCTGGGGTCTTTGTAAGCAGTCTAGTTTGATCCAAAGAAGCAAGTTCATCATGGTTAGGCGTGTTTCAGTGAAGGTTTGTAGGTGGTTGTGGTTGGGTTGTCATTTGGGGTTGTAGAGGTTTATTTAAGACAAGTTTTAGGTACTGACATTGAAGGTGGGAAAAAGAAAAGGAATAAGTTTTTGGACTTGCTTTACATTATTGTTTTAGGTACTGTCCTTTGTATCACAATCTTCCATTAACAAGACAAAGAACAAAAAAGATAGCTGTTAATTTATACTCCTTTCAGCCTTCTCAGATAGGCAGATACCACTTCTTTCAGCCTTGCTATGAACCTTTCGTTTTCGCTTGTTTTTTTGTGGTCTGAAATAGTTGTTTGATTCAGACATTTGTGGTTGGCCTGTATCACGATGAATATTTGTGTGTAAAGCTGTGAGTGCTTTCTGGATTTGTTTTTTATTTTTGATCGTTTGTTAACTCGTTCTCATATCCAATCTTTTCGGAAAGAGACCTCCGGTATGTTTGTTCTCTGGTACAGCCTACAGATGTCGTATGTATACATATCACTTTATTTGTTGTCATTGTCTTTCGAAATGTATACGTGACTCTTTTGCTAATTAGGCAACTGTGGATGTTGCACCTTCGCACACTGCCTCTTTTCTGCGAGAAACAAACAGCTGTGGTTTTGCTTGCCTGTAACGTGCATTATGCATAGCTTATGTTTCCTGAAACTGCTATTGTACTTTTGCTTTGTCAATCCAATGTTCATGTATCCTTTGGGTATCCTCGGCATCGGAGGTCTCAAAGACTCAGTGCCGAGGATCTACAGGACCACACACTCACACAGAGGGTATCAACCGCCGGATTAGAAAAAAAAGATGGCTCAAGTCAGATGCTGTGGTAACATTTTTGTTTATAGTAGAATGCATTAGAATAGGTATTGAGTATTATAGTATTTGGTTACAGTTAAATTTGGAATTGGAATAAGTGGTTGGGGTGAAGTTAGAGTCGCACTCTGTAACCCACGACCCTTTAAATAGAGAGGGTGGTACCACAATGTAACCATGACAACCACTCCCTCTGTTTTTTTTTTAAAATAGATGACGCAGTTGACTTTTGAATAAATGTTTGACCATTTGTATTATTCAAAAAAAATATGCAAATGTATAAAATATAAATCTTGCTTAAAATACTCTGAGTAATAAAATAACTAACAACAAAATAAATTACAATTACGTAAACTTTTTGAATAAGACGAATGTTTAAGCGTGTGACAAAAAGTCAACGACGTCATCTATTAAAAAAAAGAGTTACATATGCAAGAAAATGATGGCTGCAAAACCATGGACTCTTAACGGTTAGGTGCTATGTTAATTAGGGAGGAGCACCCGTAGTCAGATCCTAGGATGTAGGATTCGATTGAATCTCGTTAACAAATGTCATATGTTATTTTTATCATATCTTGAGTGATCAATGATTAAAGTGATGAAGAAAGTTAGCCGTCGTTTTGCTATATCAAATAACTACGATGATGCTATCTGTTCGATACCTATTGGGCTTGTGGAGCTTCCAGCACCCCTCCAAAACAGTCAATTCATATTATAGGGAATCTAGAATAACTAGAAGCTTCTTAAAATTTTCACCGGCTGAAGACAACACCGTTGCTTTTCAAAATCTCTCCAACTCTCTATAAACAAATATGTAGTCTTTTATTTTTGTTCGTTGGAGTCAAGGCCCGGGGATAACTAATGGAGCTTTCAGCCCAAGCCAACACTATGTCTAAGGGCCAAGGGCCTGTTCACTTTGATGTCATTTTCAACCTTACCAAATTTTGGTAAAGTTACAAAAAAAAAGTGGCTACATTTAGTTTGCTGCCAAATTTTGGTAACTATATAAGAAATCCTGCCAAAATTTTGGCAAGTTGCTAAAATTTTGGCATCTATGTCAAAATTTTGGTAATGCCAAAATTTAGTAAGTTTTTTTTGGCATCAAAGTGAACAGGCCCTAAATTACCATAGTACTTAGGCCCAAGACTACTTAAGTTGACCTCCCTTCCCCTGTTTCTCATTTTCCCTTTTTGTTTTCTCTGTGAAACAAATAAGGAATGCAGTTCTTTTTATAAATAAATCTATTTTACTCCCTAGAGCTATTTAGGGCCCCTTTGAATCAAAAAAAATTGTAGAGGAATTTCATAGGATTGAAATCCTATGGGAAATTTTTCTATTTGGCCCTTTGATTCAAGGGATTGGAGTTTTACAAATCCTATACAATTCGTATGAAATGACTCATTGTATGTAGGTTTTGGAGTAAATTTAGTAAGAAGTTCAACCTCTTCGAAAAATTCCTTTAAGTCCATCTCTCTTATCTAATTCCTGTGTTTTTCCTATGGTCCAATTAAACGATCATTTCTACCTATATTTTTCCTGTTCCTCCATTCTTTTTTCATTCCTATGATTCAAAGATCGAGGCCCTTAACTTGATCATTTAATCCCCTAAACTATTTTTAACTTGATCATTTAATCCCCTAAAACTTTTTTTTTGTTTATACAAGTTGCATTTTAAGATAATTATTTTTAAGCCATGAATGACACCATTATCAAAGTTTCAAAATATTTTCATAACTGTTTACTTGAACCTTGAAGTCTCAATGTTTAAATTAGTTTTAGGTGCTTCCAACATATGCAACGAATGGTTAAAAAATCTAAAAAAATAGTGAGAGGTAAGTTTTGCTGCATTGTCAATCCTATCAAATTTCAGTATACAATTCGACTTACATAGAGAGAAACAACAAAGAGAACTCTTACAGAGTAAAGTGAACTGTTTACAATTGTTCGGGGTGTAAAACGAGCCAAAAATATATTAGAGGGCATCCGGTGAAATAGTTCGGACTTTGGAGGAAGTGAAGTGGTCTTATTTGATATCTGATAGACTTTTTTGAATGGAGGACAAGAAAACACAAGAATCGAAAGAGAGGGACAAGAAGTAATTTTTCGAAGAGGCTAGATCTCATGTTGGAAATCCTTTAAAATCCAAATAATTTGATGCAGTCATATGGAATCTCATACTCATAGGATTTTGCAATGGCTATTTCTTTGTTCCAAATGGTTATGTATGAATATCTTCCATAGGATTTGAGTTAAATATAAAATATCTCCAAAATTCAGTCTCAAAGGAGCCCTTACTTCAGGACTGAACCCTCCTAGTACGTACATCCAGTCCATGGAGGCAACCAAACATGGCAAGCGACAAATAGCCAGTCAACCACACAAGAAAACAGGAAAGATCAAATCATCATTCACCAGCACTGCACACCGCACACATGGGAGCAGCATAACCAAACCGAGAGCTACGGGGCAGGACCGCAGGAAGCCGTGTGTACTGCCACTGCGTCCGGGAAGAAACGCCTCATCATCCTCACAGTCACAAGCCCCCTCTAGTAGTAGAAACCATCCTCCTCCCCTGCAGCTGAATCGCCATTTCCCCTGCTGCTCCGTGCTCCTCCACTCCAACTGGTGCTAGCCCCTGATGTTGTTGGCCGTGTCCATTCCTAGCTCAGGAGTAGTATAGGTTTGCTGTTCTCGCAGAGGTGGTCCTGCATTGCATGCCATTCCATGCAGGTGCAGCTAGCAGTTGGCCAGTAGGACTAGCCACTGCCAGGACATCTACCATATCCATATGCCCTGTTTGCTGACAATAGGAGGCTCGTGCAGATGAACAGCACAGCCCCTCCCCTGCATGCAGAAAACTGACCCCTCCTCACTCTCTGGGTGAAAGAGCGAAAGAGAGGCGCCAACATCGACATCTATCTACGGATAGTAGTACTACTGCGTCGTGAGGCATTGATTTTAAGTAAGCCTGCTCTTGCAATTAGTGGACATGATATTTGACTGCCTACGAAGAGGCCAGGAGGAGGGCTATGAACAATGCAGTCAAAAACGGCAGGAGAGGACACAGGAGAGTCCTTGTAGGATCATGGCGTGTTCAGTCCATTCCTACCTCGAGGCGGCTGCCGCTGATGCCAAGGATTGGGCTGTGTGCAAGCTGCAAAGTACGGAGTAGGTAGTAGAAGAAGGAAAGGAACATTGGGTGTTTTCTTGAAGCTACAGGGTCTCCTTTTCGCGGAGCTGTACGTTACAGGTCACCTTCTCTTCTTTGGGTTCTTTCTCAACCGGCTTCAAATCCCAAACATCGACGGATAAACACACCTGGGTGATATAGGTGAACGGTGTGATCAATAAGCTCATTGCGCTCTTCATTCTCTCCCTTGTTTGGAACGCAAAGAATTTTACGCGAAATCGTTCGGTTTTCACGTGGATAGGTATATATTCTATGATCGTTTTCGGACGAGCCGTTTCCGGCCTACATGGCAGGGCGTGCGGTCCAGTTGGGAAAATGATACACCATACACGCACAAAAACTTGTTTACAAAAACACTCTAATCAAATCTTGATTTTTTATAACTACCCACCAGTTAATTCCAAGACCAGTAAAAGATTTTCTACTAAGTACGTTTAGCATTACTCGTCGAGTCGAGAATCGCGAGGCGATCGAGTTGCACAGCAGCTAACGCCCCCAGAATCGCGAGGTGATCCGTGCAAAGGTGGGCTGCAGATTTCTCTGCCGCCGCCGCCGCGGCGCACCAGCTGCAGCGCACGAGTCGGGGAAGCACGACGCCGCGAGATGGATAGGGCGCCCGCGCCGCGCGCGTGGGCGCAGAGAGAGAGGGAGAGAGACACGAACGACGAGGGTGGCCTACGGTTTTCTCTCCCTCGCGCGCGCGCCTCTGTTTGCGCCAAACCGCGGGGCGGGAGGGAGCACGACGTCGCATGCAGACCGTGATACGTACGGCGCTGGTGTGCGTGCGGTGCAGCGCGCTGCGCCTGCGGTGCGCCGCCCTCGGGCGTACGTGGTTGGGGCGTGGGCGTGGGCGTGTGCGCGGGAGACGCGGGCCGCGGCACGACGAACGCGAAGCGGACGGGCGAAGCGAAGCGTGATCAGAGCAGTTGATTTGATCGATCTCTTCCGCCGCCAAGAGTGCCGATCCTATAGCCGAGGCACACAATATATTCGGATCAACTAATAACTGATCAGCTATCCTTTTTGTTATTTCTGTTAGACCGTATTTAAACGAAACAGAGGTATCATTTGACTTTCGAGAGTGGACTAGATATGGCTTGCACCGGTTGGATTATACGAAATATAGTATTGTTGTACTGTACTGTAATGTTTTGTTATGAATGTATTATATTCGACGGGAACGAGGTTTGCTTGTACAGTTATCCAAACCCGTACATTTCATACCAACAGAACTTGCATTTTCAAGCCGGGTCTGCTTGTGAAGCTGTAATACTGCACTTTTTGGTTGCTCCCATATTCAGACCCTAAAGGCTGTGAAAAATTCTGAAAACATGAGACAACATGCATCTACTATGACACACACAACTTCAGATCAATTTCGATACACCCTCCGAGAATAAATATGAAAAATTAGGCTTCAGATAATACAAAATTCAAATTCAACTCCGAATGATAATATCCCAGGCCAATACACTACGCCGATGATAAACAATGTACACATTTTGAACGACTCACATGAGACGGTGCAAGATTTTATTGATAGAGAAAAAAAAGTTAAGATTATGTCTCACATTGTGTGTCATGCATCTTTAGATTCATAACTACAATGATATCGTGTGCACTAGTAAAGGTGAGGAGGATAATTTCGAATGTGAATGTGTTTATAAGAATAACAAATCCTGAACTAATTAACAACATAGCCAACCTATCCGGCTTAAAAAAAGATTTGTAATCTCTTTGTTAGTTAATCTCTCTCAAATCCCCCACTTATCTTAAATACCCCACCAACGCCCCCCCCTCTTCCCTCCTCACCCCAAGTCCCAACCCATCCAATCCAAACGCGAGTGCTCGATCGACTCGTCTCGCCACGCCAATGTCCATCACCACCACCTCCTCCGCGCCGGAGCAACTGCTCGACATGCCGCCGTCGAGCGTCGCCGCCAATGGCGCGCGCGCGGCGAGGCGGAGGCGGCGGCTGCTGCTGTTCGCCAACTACGCCGCACTGCTCGGCGGCTCGGTGGCGTCCAGCCTCCTGTCACGGTACTACTTCGCGCACGGCGGGCACAACCGGTGGGTGGCCACGCTGGTGCAGTCGGTCGGGTTCCCGTTCCTGCTCGTGCCGGTCTACGCCGGCCGGTCGCCGTCGCAGCCGCGGCCGTTCGCGTGGTTCACGCGGCGGCTGCTCGCGGCGTGCGTGGTCATCGGCGTGCTCATGGGCGTGAACAACCTGCTCTTCTCGTACAGCTCGTCGTACCTGCCGGTGTCCACCTCGTCGCTGCTGCTGTCCACGCAGCTCGCCTTCACGCTGGTGCTCGCCGCCATCATCGTGCGCCACCCGCTCAACTTCTCCAACCTCAATGCCGTCGTGCTCCTCACGCTCAGTTCCGTGCTGATCGCGCTCCGGTCGTCCGACTCGGGCGAGCAGCCCGGGGGCGGGAGCCGCGCGAGGTACTTCGTCGGCTTCGCCGTGACGCTCGGCGCCGCGGGGCTCTTCGCCGCGTACCTGCCGGTGATGGAGCTGGTGTACCGCAAGGCCGTGTCCGGCGGGTTCCGCATGGCGGTGGAGGTGCAGGTGATCATGCAGGCGGCGGCGACCGCGCTGGCGGTGGCGGGGCTCGCCGCGGCGGGCGGGTGGAAGGAGGAGCTCGCGCGGTGGGACCTCTCCCCGGCGGCGTACTGGGCGGTGCTCGCCGCGCTGGTGGCGACGTGGCAGGCCTGCTTAATGGGCACCGCCGGGATGGTGTACCTCACGTCGTCGCTGCACAGCGGCGTGTGCATGACCGCCGTGCTCACCGCCAACGTCATCGGCGGCGTGGTCGTCTTCCGCGACCCGTTCGGCGCCGACAAGGCCGTGGCCACCGTGCTCTGCGTCTGGGGCTTCTCCTCCTACCTCTACGGCGAGTATACCACGCAGAAGAAGGTGGACGGCGACGGCAAGGTGGCCGCCGCGTCGTCCGCCGCCGCCGCCGCCTCCGCGGACAAGATACCCACAGGTGGCGGCGCGGCAGAAGGCGACCCAGTACATGAAGCCGTTTGAGCCATCTAACCTTTTCCTTTCCAGGAAGAAGAAGAAAAAAAAATGTCAAGCGAAGCACATGGAAGAAAAAAAAAGGGTTTTTCAATGGTAGCAACACTTCAATCTGGTGAAGCTGCAGAAATGCATCATGCATGGCGCATAAACTAAAAAACATGCATATATCATGTAAGGCACAAGAGACAAATGCTGCATATATTTGTTGCACATTAACAACGTACTGTCCATGAGATATATATGCAGGGTTGGTGGCTGTGGTTTTGGTTTGGTTTAGGTGGCTACTGCCACTTGCTTGTGCTAAGGTTTAAGGTTTTGGTGTGGAGACATGCATGGATGAATATATCAATGGATATTATAATGTGCTACAAGTACATACATACGACACCGATGTATGTTCGGTGTACTGTGTTTGTAAATATATTTCCTGATGGGCTAATCATGCATTGCCTCATGAACAGTTGCTTCCTTGGAATTTTTGCCTTTTTAGGTGAGATCAATGTTAGAGGGTAGCACTGTGAATCGGTCTCATTTTGTGCACCTACATGAACAGTATCTCTAGCACTACAATAATGGATACCCATATATATACACCTAGCTATATGATCATCTACTGTTGAGATGATGTGATGTTACCGTGCCATGCATCCCCTAGGTTTGGATCGTAACATTTTTAGCAGTTCAAACAATCTTTTTGCCATGTCTCTGCTATGATCTGTGATAACAGCAATACAGTAGGAACACCACATGCTCACTGTCAGCAACCATCATCAGTAAATCTTGCATGCATGGCTGTTCAACTACTATGTGGATATGTATTTATCATCAATACAATGTAGTACTACATGTATAGCTTCTGGAAAGCAATAGATCACTACTTGATGTGAACATCATCATTATTTGGGGATCATGCCCCTGAGGTGGATTGGCTTGAGTTCATGGCGTCCAAATGTAATATTTAGGGCTTGTTGGTTGTCCAACTCCACATTAGAAAATGGGGGTGAAAGAAAGTGACGCAAGTTGGATCATTTGATGAGGGGAATAATCACCCTGAGAAATTAAGTCCACACACACATCAAGGTGGACTATATATAGTGGCCATATACAGTTAAATGTTTACTCACACGCCCAATCATGTCTCAAGCTCACTAATGGAAAAGTTGAACTATGAAAAGCAGAAGGAAAAAAAAAACAGAGCCATGGTGTGCGTGTGTGTACGTGATGGTGACATTAACCAATTAATGATGTTACGGGTTCATCAGCATTAATATTATTGGAAATGCACGATCTCGCGTTTCTATTGTGTGCCGTTGTACTTTACTGATTAGTAAGCATGGCGTTTATGTACGAGTATATATTGCTGTGTATACTGCTGATTAAGTTATATTTAGCATCCATGGGGGCGAGAAGAAAAACGCAATTGATTAATTCTATGCAGGGAAATATATGGTTTACATATGTTCTACATACGCTTTTGGCGAGAGTTCGATGGCTTTACTTAGAAAGATTTAATCGTTATAAGCTGAGAGGTAGTGGGTGGGAGGTTAGCTAGGCGGTTATGATGGTTACTTCATCATTTTTGGACTAATCAACTCGAAGTGGCGGCAAATGCGTGTATAAATAAACATGGGCAGTTAGAACAGCACAAACAACTATAATCAAAGCGTGTAAAGTTGTTCATGCAATAGTTCATATATATGTTTACAACGATAACTCCCAGCGTGAGATGTTGCTCTATGCTGTGATTCCATATAGTTTATTTAGAGTAAAATGCATTAACTATAACTATAAATATTATGATTAAACTATTATAAAATTATAGATTTAACAAGGTCATAACAAAACTACACAAATTTAATATTAAATTTATCACGAAGTTATATTTAAAATACACTTTCACAGAGCTATAGATTTCATAATGAAGTTATCACAAACTGCAACTTTTAGGTTGCGTTCAAGTGCAGGAGAAAGGGAGAAAGATTGTTTCGTTTTCCGCGCGTACGCTTCCCGAACTACTAAACGGTGTGTTTTTTTCAAAAAATTTCTATAGGAAAGTTGCTTTAAAAAAATCATATCAATCCATTTTTAAAGTTTAAAATAGTTAATACTCAATTAATCATGTGCTAATGGCTCACCTCGTTTTGCGTATCTTCCCAATCTCCTCAATCTCCTCCTCAAACACACCCTTAGAATTCAGATCCCTAATGCTAATATTGTGTTGGAGTTACAGAATTGATACTTTTGGGATGAAATTGGTGTTAAATTTATAGATACACTATGCATGAAATTCATAGTTCTATATATGATAAATTTGATATCAAATATGTGTATTTGTTGTCGACTTTTTCAAATCTTTGCAATAGTTTGGTCATAGTTTCGTGAAATATACTCGTTTGATTTAGATTGATGTACGATAATTGAAGTGTAGAAATGAATTAATTTGATGCCTCTTCATTTATTACACATGAAAATAGACAATTTTTTTTAATAAATTATACTCCTTCTATCTTAAAAATTAGCAACTTAGGATTATATTAGATGTAATCTAGATAGAATAAAGTCAGATAAAATGTCTCAAAGTCCTGGACGAATTAAATTTTGAACAAAAGCAACTTTCTTTTCAAATCTAAATCATTCATGTTTAGATATATAACAAAGTAATAGAATTACAACTATGACATCTGTGCCAATAAAAAATTTACACAATTTTTATACCGGCATCAAACACACGGCAAACGAAAGCCTTGCATCACGGCCAATATGAGGCCACACACATTGGGGCAACATTTCTGCACACTATAGCTAGGTCACTAAAAGAAAGAAATATCTTTTTTAGCAATCGTGACATGTGCATGTTCGTGTTATATAGTTAACAAATTTAGTTTCATCTACTTTATCTTCAAACTTTAATTATATTCTCCAACCAACTAGCCTTGGAAAAAAATTCTTCAATTTAATTATATGAACTAAAGGACTATAAAAATATAATGTCTATAGTACATAATAAGGGCATAAATAATATAGATGATCATGATCACGATTCACGACCATATCAAATCGTCAAGGTGAAATTATCCTCTTTTTTAGATCTTCTAGAATATTATAACGATCGACATGTTCTACCTTTAAATATATCTATATACTTTCAGAATTTACCTCTCTTTGTTCCACATGTCCCCACCATTACTAACTCCTTTTCTAGTGGATCTTTGTCATAAAACATTCTTAGTGATTATTGACATGAAATGCAATGCTGTCCATCCATGTGGCCATCATATAAGAAGCCTTCCATTGGATTATGAGTGTTTTTACAGTCAATTGGAACTTAAAAATTAGAATAGACATCCTAGAAGGTATTTACGTATTGTTGCTTGCTCCATATATGTATCTTATATTATCAACTACTCCCTCTATCCTACAATATAAGAACCTAAAATTAGATGGGATATTTCGTACAACGTTCAGCCCAGAACTCCAGATATGTTATGTTAAGAAATATCATATTCGGTTATAGGTTATTATATTTTAGGATGGAAGGAGTAGCATTTAATTTGGTAATTGCTCTAGTACCTACCGTTATCAGCTACTGTAGAATATTTTGGTGCCTCCAAGTACGCTAAATACGTATTGTCAAACATGCAGCATTTACTTTAATTTAAAGCATTTCAGGATAACTTTATATCAATTTTTCATTATAATAGGATTTTTCATTATAGTAGAACATCGACTAATAAAACATGGGAGGAGCTATGCCTGTTAATAAAAAGCTTGTTCTAATTAGGGCATGTACAATGGAGGCCATAAGCACCAGTGGTCTTAAGACACCACATAGGAAAGAACCACAAAAAGGTCACACTACTTATAGTGGAAACCACTCCAAAACGTATTTTGAATTTCAGCCCCTATCTATTTATATGTCAGCCCTTGCATATATATTATTATCAAACCTACTAAAACTTTATATTTTGAACCCTATAGTAAACAAAAGAAGTATATATACACCCCTAAACACCTTGTGACCCACTGTCAGCCTCTTCCCATCCCCCCTCTCTCTCTTCTCGATTTCTTCTCCACCGAGAACTTCTCTGTCGTCGCTCTCTTTCCTCCCTTCTCCGGCGCGAGCTCGCCGGCTTCTCCCCTTCCCTCACCGGCGCAAGCTCACCGGCTTCTCCCAGTCAACCCCGCCGCCGCGAGCTCCCCATCTGCCCTCTCCTTTTCTCTAGGCGAGGCAGAACGGCGGCACTCGAGCTCTTGCGGCGGCGGATCTGGTGGCGGCGGGGAGCAGCGGTGGCGCCGGCGGTGTGCTGTCGATGACGCGCGCCTACTGGCCCACGAGGACGATGGTGGAGATGAGGAAGACGGCGAAGCGGCGCGAGTCCGGCCTCCACACCGGCGGTGGTAGGGAGCAGCGACGACGACCACGGCGAGATGCGTATTTGGAGTAGGTGCACGGGGGGACCGGATGAGGTGACGCGCGGGGCTCCAACTCCTCCAACGCGAAGCTTCGGCTCGTGGCTTCGCGGCTCCCGAGCCCAGTCAGGGTGCTTCGATCGGTTCTTCTGCAAGATCACTGTCAGCCTGCGAGACCACCAGCGGGAGTGCCAGCTCGGCTCGGCTTCGACGTGGAGCTGTGAGACCACAAGTTAGAGCCACGCGTTGTACATGGCCTTAAGTGTCTTGGTAGTGCATCAAGCTCTACTCTCAAATCCCAATGGCTTCGATAATATTTATTGATCTACTGGTCTAAGCAGCACAACTGTGCTTTGGAATGCCATGTTACCGCCTCAACTAATGAAATTAGGCACATGAGAACTAGCTAAATCACCGTATAGTTCTTAATTACTTAATTTCCACGGAAGTGCTATTTGTTCTATGGCCATGTTTAATTGATTGTGAACGAAATCCTTGGTTGGTTAGCGTAGTAAAAGATCTCTCATGCCTACTCATTCCTAACAGCAATATTTTTTTTAGACGCAAGCAAGAAATTTGCAGGATGTGAGAAAAATGGACATAGTTTTTTTTTTCTGAAAGGGCTGAGTCACTTTAGCGTTTATTCGTTCGCGTGAGTGTGCGCGCGCGTGTATGAGAGAGCTAGCTGACAGTTACTCCGCGATAAGAACTTGGGGGGTGGTTAGTGGAGGGGCCAGCACAAGGTTTTATATATAGCATTGACAAATTAAGGGGATGCTCATGAGCTAATTGGTGGCTGGCCCAATCAGGGCAAAAAGATGACAATTTGTGAGAACAATCTGGCCACACACGCTCATGTTGCCTAAGAAAGAAGAAAGCCTGCACGCCACCACTTGAGATCATGCCATGTATCTATGTACTTGACTTGTTTCGTCTCAACGGCTGCCAATATGATCTGCCGTGTCCCATGTTGCTATACTAGACAGATAAATTTGTCGCACCATGTGTATGTCTTTTCCCTATTTGGACTTCCTCCTTTTGAATTTTGGGTTGATATTAACTTTCTCAAGGATTTATATATTCAAGAGAATTTAGTTACCTACTCTATTGTCCTATATGATCGAGCTTAATTTGGACGTGCACTACAAGTCCACTAAAAATTGGCATTACACTAACAGATTTTCTAAAGGGAATATAATCTAATCCATGTATAGTAGCCAATCCAATCGAAGCAAATTCTTAATTTCTTTTGTTAAATATTCCAGTTGAAAACTATCAATATCAAGTATTCCGTTCTTCAATTTTATAATTCAGAGCTATCACTTCTTGTTTAATGTTTGTTTTTTTTCTTTTTTTTCTTTTTTTAGGGGGCTGGGGGG